CGGGCTCCCTGCTCAGCAGGAGGCCTGCTTCTCCCTCTCTCACTCCCTCTGCTTGTGTTCCCTCTCTTGCTGTGTTTCTCTCCGTCATATCTGTAATAAGTACAAGGCAATATTTCAGTAGAGGGGAAACTGCCCTGTGATGTTGCTGTATGTGATCAAGGGTTGGGGAGGGAATATCTGAGCAAAAATAAAACAACGAAAATGTTGTGCTCAGGATAAGTGACCCTGTTAAGAAGAGGGGCTTCTACACCCTAGTAGCTGGGATCAGCCTGTTCTTTTGCTGTACAAACTCAGATCCACTGACCCAGCTCTATGCCAAACTACCAAAAGAAAAAACTAAATAAGCTTCCAGGGTTGTTCATGTTCGTCTCTCCCTAGTATGTATTCATAAATTAAACAAAAATGTTCTAAGTCATGTGACCCTCTTTAAATTATTTGTAAAAATTGGACTCACTAAGTAAAAATGGGATACTGAGTCAGACAAAATATAGATGACGTCTTTATTTTTGTGACCCTAAAAGTCGTTTACAAAAACCATTGCTCAAATATATAAAAATTTTACTTCTGAAGAATTAAAAATAATGTCCTTACAGGAAAGTCATTTCCATGAAATAAATTGACTACAGATTTGTTAGAGACTGTTGGTTACGGATGGGGTACAAAAGGCTTTTTACATCTTTCCAAATACTGATATTAAACACCTGCAGAACTGTTGTAATCATTCCAATACCATGCCTGCCAATGACCAGATTACTCAATCTGTGAACAATGTGACAGGAAAGAGGAAAGGGGAATAAATTAAGGGAACCTGGATTTTGGCCATCATATTTGCAGATGAGAATAGGCATTGTATAAAATTCATATGCATTTCAACCAATCGCTTTTTTATAAATTGCATATGGCAATTCCTACCTCTTGCAAAATGATGTGACTACAAACTATAAGAAGGAAGTCTCAGGTTACTGTTTAGATAAACTTATATTTTATCAGTATCACATGGAATGGTAAGGATTTATGAAACTTTCTGGAAGATGTGTTGTCTTTATTATCACTAGCACAGAAAAATAGATGCATATAGCTGTAAGAGACCGTAGAAAGTACCCAGTCCAATGCTTAGACAGATGGTACAAAAATCCACATTTAGGGAGAGGCAGGGATCAAGCCCTGAAACATCTTTAGGAAACTAGGAGACCCTGGTTCTAATTTCAGCTTTCCAAAGACTGATATCCTAGTAGCAAAAGAATAAAAATAAAAAAAAATCAGTGTCATGAGCCTTGTTCAAACATCTTTTTCCACATTATTTAGAAATGCCCATGTTGTTTTATTCTAAATGAAGGAACAGGGTTTCAGAAAATAGTATCCTCCCAGGGTCAAGTAGCTAGTAAATAGCAGAGCCAGAACTGAATTGGGCCTATCTTTATCCCAAACACGCTTTCTTTCTCCTCTGCCGCCTCTCAGAATACCAGGAATGTTGTAAATCCTTATTATACATTAGATGCACTATTATTCCCAATACAAATGCCTTTATATTTCTCCCTTTCTCTGTATTACAGGGAGCAGGCACTGAAGAAAATTGCCTCATTGATATTTTAGCTTCAAGAACAAATGGAGAAATTTTCCAGATGCGAGAAACCTACTGTTTGCGTAAGGAAATATACATATGTACATATATTTTACACACATATAAGCTTTATATTTTTCAAATAGCACACAAAATATTCCAGCTTATGTGTTTTTAAAAATTTTCTAAGACACCCTTATATTTGAAATATCACTCACTCAAGACCAATTAACTCACTAAGTAAAATTGATGATTAGGTTATCAAAACTGAACCGATTCTCTAGACAATCAAGTTAAGCAAAGTTTCCAGGAAAATAATTGCAAGTTTCTATGAGGTGAGTGTTTACATTAATTCAGGCAAGTGCCCAGCACCATGCTTAAGGGCCCTTTTATTTCTTACCCAGGAGAAACCAGGTATCTAGACAAAATAGAGCAAAGAACAATAACTGCTTAGCAAATTTGACATATACGGTTAACTACTTCACTTTACATAAATCTTATAATCACTGTGATCTATCTCAAAATCAGATTTTTACACATTTTAAAAGTAGAAAAGTTAACTATTTTCATTTTCAAAAAAGTTTAATGCCTTAAGCTTCATCACATCATGTATTACCTCTCACTGAATGTCAAGAAACTATTCTAGACAGTTACCTCTGCTGCATTTGAGCAAGAACAAGGGGGAATTTCCCAAAGGGAATGAAGTAAGAACCTTCATTTAAAATATTAAAGGAAACAAAGCACTTGGGAAAAGTGCTGAGCTGCGTAGCAGTCTATGGAAATAGAATGCAGAATTCTGAATTTTGAGAATTAGAGAATGTGCTATGACTCTCGTGTTATTTTTCAATTTTGGAATAAAGATAATGGCTTTTTAAGAAAACAGACTTGTGCCTATGTTACTGTTAGGTGTCCACATTTCTTTGGTGGACTCTTTAGGAGATTGACTTCATCTGAGTAGAAAGCAGTAAAAGACAAAGAAATGTCAACAGATTGATTGTATTTCCTGTATTTTCCCCTCACAACTGAGGAAATAATATTAACTTACTCAAAGTATGTTGATATGTGGTTCTATAATAAATCATACCTTTAACATGGAAGTTCTTTCCTAGAATATAGCAGCAACCTTCAAGAAGACATTTACTCAGAGACCTCAGGACACTTCAGAGATACGCTCATGAACCTGGTCCAGGTATGAAATTCAAAAATTCACGCCATTGTGCACTAGTAAAAAATATATATGTTTCATTTTCAAAAGCTAGGACAGAAAACTCCAGTTTAAAAGTAAATTCTGTATAATAATATTTACTGAATACCAGCTAAATTCAAAGCTCTATAATAGAAACTTGGCTTGGCTATAGAAACAAATGAATATGAATAATACACCATTTCTATTCTAAAAAATCTATATATAAGACGATTATGATTACAGACACATACATAAATAATTATATTAGGTTCTAGCTCTCTGTCTAAAGAGCTAATAAGGAGAAATCCAGAATTTGAATTGAATCCTATAGACTCCCAAGTGCCAGCATATGATCCTCAGCACTGCCTCTGAAGATTCTGTGGTACCATACATTACCACAGAAGAACACTACTTCAAATTAAAATTAAAATTTGACAGTTATTTTGTTTTTCTGCACTGACAAGATGGTACATAATTATTTCATTCAATTAGTATTTCTTGAAAACATCCCACATACTAGCATTGTAATAATATTTTAGATATAATTAGCCTTTGTTTTATGCATATTCTTAAATATGCCTGTCATCCAATTCAGCAAAGGCATTCAGGAATGTAAAGAGAATCAATGTGCAGTTCTTTACTATCAAAAAATAAAATCTACCATCTTTTTTTAACATATAACGTATTATTTGTTTCAGAGGTACAGGTCTGTGATTCATCAGTCTTGCACAATTCACAGCAAACAATCAATCATGGAACATTACATCAAAAAGTAATGATGTAATGTATGGTGATTAACATAACATAATAAAATAAAATTTAAAAAAAAGAAAGAAAATCTAAAAGTTCATGGGAAAAATGTCTTAACCAGTATTTTGGTTTGGTTTATGTTGTACGAGTATCTGTGTGTGTGTGTGTGTGTGTGTGTGTGTGTGTGTGTGTAATGAAAGAAGCACTTCTAAATCCCCCAAACTTGGGATGTTTGGGTGGATCTATTGGTTAAGTGTTGGCCTTCAGCTCAGGTGATGATCCCAGGGTCCTGGGATCGAGTCCAGCAACGGGCTCCCTGCTCAGCGGGGAGCCTTCTTCTCCCTCGGCCTGCTCTTCCCCCTCACTTGTGTATTCTTTCTCTCTCTCTCCCTGACAAATAAATAAATAAAATTTTTAAAAAATCCCCCAAACTTTTCTCTTTATGTCAAGAACATAACCAAGTAGTTGGTTAGTTAGCACAAAATTTCAGTAAGAAACATTAAGTAGATAGAATTTTATACATGGGGATGTAAAATTAAGAAAAGACTTCATTGCCTTTAAAGAAAAAAGAATAAATGGTAGCCCTTTTAGGGAATAAAGGCAGAAGAGCAATACCTAGAAAGAGAGCAAAAGACCAAGAAGGAGGAGACTAGGGTGAGAATGCTGCCAGAGGACCTGGGAAACCCAGGGCCCCACATGTTCAGGAGGGGAGTCCGAATCACCAGATGAAACCATGGGATAGAACATGGAATGTTCTTTCTTCCTTTTCCCTGAGCCACTCCTATACCAATTGCCTCTATGAGTCACTAGATTTTTTTTTAACCTAAACATTTCTATGGCCACTATTGCCAAACTCTAGATATTCTTCCTTGTCCTTTATCCTCTTCTGGTTTATCTGAAGTGATACTGTGTAGTATATCCTCTGTGAGGGTTGTATCTCTTTCACAGCTCGATTTTGGCAAATTTAGAGATCTAGCAGTTTGTTTGCAGCTTGAGTAGCCCACTTTTCTTTAATCTGGATTAATGATGTCCTTGGAAATGTAAATATCTAAGAAACTTAGAAGAATTCTAATGTAATTGCTTCCAGGGAATACTGTATACCACTTAGCCATACCCAAACTTCTCTCCTAGACATATTTCCGTGCATCCTTTCACTCTCCCTGACCATATTTCTTGTTTTTCACGACTTAAAGCCAGTGCCTTGAAAGTCCTCTCAGATAATAAATTTAGTCAGATACTTGCTGCAGGGGTGAGTCTTAAAAGGTGTTTGCTTTTCAAATCTTCTTCAAGATTGCTTGGAGTCAGTGGTTTCCCCTTTGAACTGTTAGAGACACCAAACACCTGGACTTTCTCTCTATTCTCTTTTATTTCTGCTTGCAAACCAGCCAGTTATTTACTGACCTCATCTCTTTCTGGTAATACATGGCCACTAGCATAAAGTAAATGCCATTTCTCAAGCTCACATGGAGACCAGAACAGGTGCTACTGATCAGAATACAGCACTCCTCCAAGAAGTGATTGAGAGACTCAGTCTCTTTCCATCTAGTGGCTAATCTACCTTTCCACCTTCCCTCTAATTTCATCATGCCTGTCCTCAATCTACAAAAGCAGAAAGACACTGGAGGATTGTTCCTGGGAATTTTTATGGGCCTAGCTGTGATGTCTATCACTTTTGCTCACATTTCATTGGCTAGACCTCCATCAGATAACTCCCCTTAATATCAAAGGTAGCTGTAAAATATATCCAGTTGTTTGTCCTCAAAGAAGATGAAACAAGTTTGGAGATCAGCTATCAATGTGAAAATGAGACTTAAAAAGCTGCAACCAAAACAGGCCAGTGAGCAACAGAAGATGGAAGAATGAAGACATTTATGGCAATAAACAGGAAATCTATGAGGATGACTATTTTGGGCACAAAATAGAGAATGTCCCAAGGGATAGCAATGTAGTAAAAAAGAAACAAATAAAATGTCCTGCATTATTTCTTAAAAGTACTTTAAAGGGTAAATGTCTTTGCATTTTTATTCATGCTTTAGGTTTTTTGACATATCCTTATTGTGTCACCATTTTTAATTATCTTTAAAAGATGACTGTGTGAAAGTTTCTTGGCCCTACTTCTAATCTTACCTGTAGAATGATAATGTTCATCATACTATATACTATGTATATAGTATACAATTTTAATCTGAATATATTAGCTATATTTTAAATTTCTATATAACTAATCCTATCATGGATAATTAATTCATATGAGATGAACAAAAACCCAACTCCATTTTAATCTTTTATTCCTTCTGTTTTGTTTTCAGCCTTGATAAACTATGTATGTGTAAAAAAAAAAAAATCAGTCCAACATTTACCTGTATTTGATTGATTGATTGCTGAGTTGTTCCAACAAGCAAATTTCAAAAATGCTAGTATGAAAGCTAGCATGGGAGTAATCAGTTCCCATTAAGCCTTTGACCAACCCTACTCTTCAAAGCCTCCTTCTGCTCCATAGAAATTGCTCTCCTCCGAGCCTGTCTTATGTATTTTTAGTCTATCTTACCGTATGATGTGGGATGTGTTTACATACCCACCTATCCCAGTAGCTTCAGTTTCCCAATCATGAGAACTATGTCCTATTCAACTTTATAGTCTTAGAACAAGGGTCTGTGTATGATACATGGAAAGCAGGTCAGATTTTTTTGAAATAAATGCTGCAAAGAACAAATTCTTTAAAAAGTCTGAGTGAATAAAGAATAACAAGGAAACAAGGAAGCATTCAGTATAGGAAAAAAAATACAGAATATTCCCCAGCTATTCAGGAAAACACACCCAAAGCCATATGCTGATTTGTCCTGAAATTACAAATTCAAATATTTACCTTACAGAGATTTCTATTTTTTTAATTCTATAAAGCTTAGTTTTTTTAAAAAAACAAAGTTTTTTTAAACTTTTCTGAAGTTAAAGTATTATATTACTGTACACAAGAAAGATAAAAATTAAGAATTATTTCTACCTTGTCTAAAACTAGTCTGTATACAAAAATAGTTAAAGTGAGAGCATGACTATTATTAATGAATTTTTCTTCTAAGATATCAATGGCAGTGAATTACTACTTCATTTTCCTTCTTTTCTTACTTATGTTATTTTGCTGTCTTCTTCATTTGGGGTGGATTAACATGTCCAATCAAACACAGGTGTTATGGTTTCCCTTAATATATGTTTGTTATGATTAAAAACTTCATGTTGGGGCACCTGAGTGGCTCAGTCATTGAGCATCTGCCTTCGGCTCAGGTCATGATCTCAGGGTCCTGGGATCGAGCCCTACATTGGGCTCCCTGTTCCGCGGGAAGCCTGCTTCTCCCTCTCCCACTCCCTCTGCTTGTGTTCTCTCTTTCGCTGTGTCTCTGTCAAATAAATAAATAAAAGCTTTAAAAAAAAAAGTCATGTTGTACTTCACACATATTTTGTATGATTGAATTCAAGAATTAATAAATATATTAGATTGGAGCACTAACTCTCCATTCATTACCAGACAACATGGATTTTACTTCTTTTTTGTCCTTTTTATGCAGCGTGGGTATGTGTTCCCAAGCTATTCTCAGTTTTGAATTAGGAATAAAAATTCCCTAAGGAAAACATTGTTGAGGAAGCCAATTATTAACTACACCAGATTAAGAAGAGATTGGATTTGAATTTCTTCAAATTGTTCACTTGAAAAAGGTGATATAGTACTAAGCAAATCCACTGACTTTCAATTAAATTAAAAATTTTCAGGAACTCCTGGAGGGCTCACTCGGTTACGTGTCTTCCTTCAGCTTGGGTCATGGTCCCAGAGTCCTTGTGATGAGCACCCAATGTCTTATGGAAGTGTTGAATCATTGTGTTGTGTACCTGAAACTAATATTATACTGTATATTAACTAGCTGGAATTTAAACAAAAACTTTAAAAAAATTCTCTCAATTTAAAAAGGTCATAATTTTGGGGGTGCCTCGGTGGCTCAGTCATTATGCGTATGCCTTCAGCTCAGGTCATGATCCCAGGGTCCTGGGATCGAGCCCCGCATTGGGCACCCAGCTCAGCGGGAAGCCTGCTTCTCCCTCTCCCACTCCCCCTGCTTATGTTCCCTCTCTCGCTGTATCTCTCTCTGTCAAATAAGTAAATAAAATCCTTAAAAAAATAAAATAAAAATAAAAAAGTCATAATTTTTTTAATTTTCAACTAATGATGCTACAAAATATAAATTAAAACAACAGTTTCCCAGTCA